AGAGAGGCGTTTCTGAAGAGTAATCTGAATTCTTTACTCAGTTGCGTAGACGGTAAAAAATGCTTAAGTAGTATTGAAACCAGAGCAGTTTCAGTTGCACAAAAGACAGGGATTGCTGTTACACTTCCCAAAGTGACCTTAAAAGTGCTAGGCCTCCCAGGAGTCTAGTCTACAGTATCATATACATCTCTGTTACCTTGATTGGAAATGTTCTCTCACACTCACCGTGGTAGGAAACATTTTCTGTCACCTCATTAAAATAGTCAAAGCATGGATTTACCCAGAGGAGAGTGAAGGATAAATTCCCCAGCTAGCACTGTTCAATGCCTGAGAGTGTTCTGTGCATCAGTACAGCAAGCAGAGGGTTTGTTTCATCTGCTCTTGGCTAACTGATTGAACCTCATGTCTAGGAGTACAATGAGGTTTTAGGTGCTGTTCAGGCATTTTTTTCTAAGTGAAAAATTACAGAGAGCAGAGAATGAGAGGGTTTATTGAAATTCAAGTTGAAATGATCAGGCTTGTTTTCCATAGAAAAAGGTTAGTTGTTTAGCTCTTTTGGTTCGCTAAACATGCTATTCTTTTTCCTACATGCTACTTACTCTTTTTACACTCTTTCTGTTTTTTCCCCTCTTAAAGCAATATCTAAAAAGTGAACAAATGAAGTTCAGAGGGAAATGTATAGCATTGAACTATTCAAGAGAGGAAAGCCAGAGTTAGCTTTAATACAGGACTGGCAGGACCACCTGGCTGATGGAGTAAAGTCCTCAGTTTTATCCTTTTCCAGTGTGTATTACTGCTGCTTTGAATACCAGAATGTATTATTAGGGCTCTTTGAAATAAAACTAGTTAAATAAGATAAAACTCATGTGAGTTGTTCCCTTTACAAAAATAAATTAACGATGGTTAACCATCTTGATATAACCCTTTTTTAGCACAAATACCAATAATCCTATTCTTACAAATACAGCAACAACAACTATTCCAAATTCTTTCCACACAATAACTAACACAAAAGAACTCACCGTTTCTAGACACGTTTCCCCGGAAATACTCTTCTGTGCTTAGTTGCTTTCTTGTTCTTGGAATTTCTTCTGTCATATCTTTCTTTTTGTCTCTCATACAAGCAGATACTCCAACAAATCTCTCTGCCCAAAAGACAACTCTAAATCCTCTATCCTTACAAGTCCCATTTGCATTTGCTAGTACCATGATTAAATTTTGGGTTGAGGTCCCCTTTAATTTGAATAGAAATAATGAAGGGTGTACTTTATCCCATCAGGTTGCCACGTGGTAAAATCACACCTCTAGCAGTGTTATATAGGGTGACTTGCTCCACAGTTTTGTATCACTCATCACTGCATGGTGTTATTATCTTAAGCACTGCACTAATCTGGATTATCATTCTTGTAGGTGGATTTTCATAAAAGCAAACCAAAATACAATCATATGAAGAATTTCTCCAAATAAGCAAAGCAGTCCTTGTAAAGTGGGAGAAATAGAATGGCTCAGTTTTAGTGTTATGTGTATTGCCCATTTTTACATACTATTTTTATTATTGTTGTTGTTATTATTATATTTCCATGCAGGGCACATGGGTCATCATTTGCTATTCTGAGATGTAACATCCCTCACTGAAAACTTAGGCCATTAGGCCATAAAGAGCATGAATTTATGGGGCTTCCAGTGATACCTCAAAAATCTTGACTGAGAGCACAAAAATGCAGTATTAACTCTAACATGAATATATTAGATGAATATTTGTGGTGCAAAATAAACATTTAAATGGGAGAAAATATTTGTCTTTCTCTAATTTAACTCCCTAAAAAATGCAGGAGATATTAGTATATATTATGAAGCACAAACTATCAACATCAGTATTCTTCAATGTTCAGAGCAATACAAAATTTTGTTAACATAACTTCTTCATTAAAAGGAAAAGAAATTACAGTTTTGCAGCATCTGCATGTAAAAAACAGAATGATTATGCAAATGGTGGTGCAATCCGCTGCATTTTTAGGTAAGTAAAGAAATTGTCTAATATCTAACATTTAATAATGTACAAGAAGTTTCGAAACCCTGGTCATATTGCAAAGTAGAATGACACTGACTTCAGAAAAGCCAATCCATAGAGGAAAATCAAGCACCTCTCCTTCTGTGATTGCCTTTTAACCATTTAGCTTTCACTTAAACTATGCTAGCATATATTAAATAACCTACCCAGACTGTTTCAGATGAACATGATATGGAGCACTTTGGAGACATAAGTCTTAAGTCATGAGAAAGCTCTCCCAGTCAATCCAGGCACTGGCTTTTGAATCCAGTTCCTGGACACCTTATTCCTGGATGCATTGTTGATCTCATCTTCTGTCTGATAAGTCCCATGGTGACATTGTATGTCTGAGGCTTCTATCAATAAAAGGATTGTTGAGGCTGATAAAAGTCACAGTGATAATATTTCTAATAGCAAACTCAGCACTACTGCATAACAAAGGATGTTTATTTCATTACAAGGAAGTGGCAAAGCACAGTATTTTTGATTGCAGTTTTACAGTACTCAGAGAATTAATCTGTCAGGACAGCAGGCTTTATCCTGCAGACAAATTCATTTGTAATCCTCTCAAGTATTCTACCATGTGACTTCAGTAGATAAAAGAGCCTCCTTTAAAGTATATTTCCATAACCCACATTGAATGATGCTAAGTACAGTGGTATCTCTCCTACTCGATTAACTTTTAATTATTGCAATTTCTCTCATGAAAGAGACTGTAAGATAGCACAGCAGGTCTCTACACAGTAATCCTATGGGCAGAGGACATTTTATGTTAATTTAGTGATTTATTTAAGACAGGAATTCCAGCAGTAAGTGACAGTAAGTAGAAAAGTATAGCAAAACTCAATATATTCTCATTTGAGAAAATCTGACAGCAGGTTCTTTAGTACTGCACTCTTCCCAACACTAAAATTATTCACTTCCTTTCAATAAGAAAATTCTTTCATGTTGTTCAGACCACATTTTAGCCTATTTTTTATTTCCTTGAATATTAGCATTATGTGTTGTTGTTACAGATATTGAAGTGCTTGTTTGAAGCTTCGCTAGCACACAATATATATTAATGTCTCTTCCGGAAATCTTCCAGTATAAATGGGCTCAAAAATCAAGAGGAAAGAGAAGTCGAAAGCATAAATATATTAAATAACTTTTATTTGATGGATTTTATCTGTTGCACTCAACTGTCTTGTAAAACATCCATGGATGATACTAGCAGAAACCTGTCTAGTTACACAGTGCTAAAATGTTTTTGTTTCTTGTATGTGTTCAAAGTACATCAAGAGAAAATGAATGCAAATTACACCATTATCGGTGATCATTAGTAGAATTGCATACAGAAAGGAACTTCTGAAAACTATTTTTGTAGATGAAACCACATTTCCCTAGAGGGAAACAGAGGAAGAGAGGTAAAAAACATTGCCTATCTTTGGAAATACGCAACAAGGAAATAGGGACACCTTAGAGATATAAAAAGGAGTACTTCCTACAAAATCAGTCCCAATGGAACTACACAGATGGAAACCTCTATTTATTTCTGCCTCTGAAAACACAGGAGCTCTAAATCTCATGTCTTCTGCAAAACAGCTCAGGGCCAGTAGAGCAATCTCAGCCACTCCAATCTGCAGGAAAACTGAAGAGCCGCCAGGAAAACCACCTGATACCCCCTGACACACAGAGGTGCTATTATTTACTGCTCAGTGAGACCAGCAAACGATTATGCTCAGCAAAGAAAAATGTTTTAGGTCTAAGTAATTATTTTACCAGTGACCTTAAAATATCCCTGTTGTTAAGAATTTTCCTTGCACAAGGCAGTCTCTGTAATAGGATCAGGCAGTATGTTTCTTCATGCCAAGTCACTGAATGCTAAAATGATTTGTCATCTTTCGCCACAGGCCACTGCCTGACACACACATGCCACAGTCTAATATCTCGCCTGCTTTGACATCAAAGTGTCTTCCTTCAGCCATTAACAACAAGAAGAAAGGCAAACAATGGCAGAAACTTCCATTCTTTCTGGGAGAGTTTTAATTAAATAAATGGCCTCAAATAGCTTAATGGTACTAAGGCAGGGAGAAAACCTTTCATCATGGAATGAATTAAATCAATAAATCTTGCTTATTCTCTCCCCCTGCATTTTTTTTATTTACTTCACAGTCACATTATTTCATTCTCTGCTGAAGTTTATGACAACATTATATGATATCTCCTGGCCTTTCACAGTCTATCACCTTTTACAGCTTACTCAATGCCATGGGTCATAAAAGACAGAGTTTTTCTCATTTTACAAAGGAGAAGAGGGAAAGAAGTCCTGTGTAAAACCTCCAATTGCAGAAGGGTTTTCACGTGCTGAAATATACAATTGTGAATAGGTCCACTGAGACTTTTGGTAGCAGCAAGTCTGGCTCTTTTGAGGCATGAGGGATTTCTACAGCATGCCCCAGAGACCTGATTTCTCAAATCAAATTAGCAAGGCAGAAATGCTGCAAACGCTGTGCTTCAGGGTGGGACCAAGGTGCAGCTGGGGCACATTTTCAGGTTTGGTGGGGTTGTCTTGGGTCATCTATTTCGATGTAGTTGATCAGTGCTATACATTGACGTGTCTTCACAGGACTCTGTTAGAGACATATCACTTTTCAAGACAAGGCACAGAGCAAAATGCTTCCTTTTTGTCCATCTCATTTTGGAGGAAATAAAATGCAAAAAACCCCTGTATGTGCCAACCAAAACCATTGCAAGATTCTTCATTCAAATGAAAGAGGTCCTTCCGATGGCAAGTGGCGTTATAATTATAGACTAGAAAAGAGCAAGATCAGCAGCTGCTGCTGCTGCTGCTGCTTGCGTTTGTTCCCTGTGTAACTGACAGGACAGAGTACTTGGCAAAAACAGCCTTCCAGAAGTGGAAAGACATTTTAACCCCTGTTCTTGTCAGTCCACTCCTCTTAGGGCTCAGCAGCAGCAACCCCTTGCTTCAGGTTAAGGGAAGAGCAAGGTGATTATTGTGGATCTGAAGGGGACTTGATTTAGGACGTCTGAGAAAGAGGAAGGGTCCAGGATTTGCCTTCGGGCTTGGATTGCTGAATCAAAATAGCAGGTCAGTGGATACAGCATAAACTTAATATGTCTTTATAGTTGGCTTAACTCAAATCTCTCTCGCTCACTTTCTCTTCTATGCCATAAACTAAAAAATAAGGTGAACAATGACAAGGGGTAGGTCTGCATAGAGGTACTATTTATTTATACATTCTGCAACGAGCCTTTTGTAGTCAGTTAGGAAACACTGATGGCTGGTTTTTTTGTACTGTGGTTTCTCTCTGAATCCTAATGCATCCTGAAATTCTCAGCCAGGCAAAAATCCCATTTACAATTAGGTTCAATATTAATGGAGAGGACACAATTATCTTTTTAGCTGTTTATGCCTGATGATCTCTTCAAAAGTGGAGAAATATATAATTCACATTTCAGTCTGTGCTTGAGAAAGTTTCTGAAATGAAATAAACACTGAGTAAAAGAAAAAGCAGCATCATAGATACGAGTCAATGGCTCTACAGGCATCAAATGAGCATAACTCATATTATGCCCTCAGAACTCACAAATCCATACCAGCAAAAAGCCTAGCCCTATATCTGCTGATGAATTTAAGGGCAGCATGATAATTAGGAATGTTTTTCATGACACCGGTGACTGTGGTATCTGATCTAATGTACTCTGTCCTTCTTCAGCCCTGGCCAAAAGAGTGCTCAGGGAGGAATGTGCTGGGGGGCATCCTTATGCTTTGTTCTTCCTGTCCATCTCAGTTTTAGCTTTTTAATTTCCTGTGGCCATAAGTAATGTAGGAAGGACTCTCTGCCAACATGCTGCCTGTGAACCAGGGATTTGGGACCACAGTGCAAGAGCCAGAGTCAGCACAAGGCTTTACACCAAAACTTCCCGTTGCAAGGGGAGGCCATACCTAAATGGTCGTAGTTGTTCCCAGAGGAAAAAAAACACAAATGCAGATTTAAATCTGCGTTTGCTGAGTTGAGAAATCTAACCAAACACATAGCTGTTTTTCATAGCTTTATATAGTCTCAACTGTTCTGTAATCACCTAACCTGACCTTATGTATATTTTAAGACATTGAATTATATTATCCTGAAGTTCCTGTATGAACCCAATGATAAATGTTAAAGAAAGCATTTGCTTAGCAGGAAGATAAAACAGAGCATACTACAAGCAAGGAAAGGCAAGGAAACCAAAGCCTAAAATTGCTGTAATAGACCCACTTTTCTTTGCCTCGTTTCAGAGGCAGAAAGAAAAAGCAGGGGCATCCAGTGTCTTCCAGGAGTTTCTATTCAGAGTCAAGGGCATTGAATAAGGTGCTAAGAGATGGCTGGAGTGTGATTAAGTGAAATATAGTTGCTAGAATCAAGCAGACAATTTGCATTTCATGGATAAAACTCTTCTCCCAGTCTAATGCATGGAGAAACATTCCTAATCCTAATTCCTGTTATCACTACAGCTCTGCATTTGTGAGCAAAGCCCATCTACTAGGCCTTGCAAGACGGGAATTGCTTTAGGTTTGTAGAGAAGGCAGACCCACTTTGTCCAGCTTAGCTACTGACCAATTTCTGGCACTTTCCACTTTCTGATAGCTGGGAGGAACGAATCCTTCCTGAACCTCCAATGCAGAAACTGAGAGTCATGTTTTTGATACTAATGGCTGCCTTCCTGCAGATGCTGGAAGGGTGCTGTAAGCAATCTTTTTGCCTCTGTGGACCACAACAGAAGAGCTCTCTTAGAAAGTTTTACAGATGCCCAGATACCAGGGGAGACCAGCAGAAACCCTCAGCCCCCACTGCCTCAGTTATGTGAATTCTTCCTGAAGGTCATTTTCTGTCCTACAATTTACCCTCAGCTTAAAGATCCTAAACAACAGGGTGACTATCCAATCCCCTGTTCTGCTATTTGGCTGCCCCCACAGTTAGCAATTTGTTTTGTTTCATCCTGCATTTGTCTAACTGCATCCTCTTGTTGTGGCCCTGTGTTATGCTGAGGGTCTGGGTTCTTGCCAGGCTATGAGCCCTCCCATTATCAGACATCTTCTCTAGATCTAAGTCCCTACATCAGTCATTCCCACTAGAGATTTACATTACAAAGTGGATATTAATTAATGGGGAGATAGAGATACACTTGTTGGTGGTATGGCTTAAACACATACTCCACAGCATCAATGGCCAAGATCTAAAGACTCCTACAGCAATTCCAGGAAACAAAGTATATTTTGAAGTATGTGATTTTTATCCCATTCCTTACCTATAGCCCAGCCACAGATTTCTTTCATTGTTTATGAAGCCCCATTTTTGCTGGAGAATGGACATCTGTGCCTCCGTTTTCTTAAGCATTGCATCCTGACCATAAGATTTTTAGCAGACAGGACTGCATTTCCATGCATGCCAGTCAGAGAAGTTGGCTTTTGCACTGAACTTCTTGGAGTACAGCAATGGCAACAAAAATGTAAAGGTCTGTGCCAAGGCTCAGGAAAAGAAAAACTATCATTTAGATTCTAAAGACCAAAACCCATGCTTTAGGGGAAAAAAAAAACAACAAAAAAACCCCAAATCTTCAGACCCATGGCAAATATCAAGCAGTCATTCTGCAGAGGAAGAGACAACCTGTCAGCAAGACAAGGCTTATGGTGTCTAAAATAAAAAGTGGCACTTTTACAGGTAAATTTTAATGCCTTACTTAATGCTCTGCATCAGAGACACAGCCAAGATGCACAAATACTTGTCACCTATTAACTAGGAGTTAGATTTTTCACCCCCACCCCCCCAGTAAATTTGCTACAGTGGCATCAAAAAAATATAGACAAGAATCGTATTTGTGATACACAGTAACTTCCTTGAGATTTTGTGCTTGTCTTAATTACTCTCTTTCATGCATGCTTTGTAAAACTGCTTTCATTCACATTTGGAGCAAGGATTTGTTTTGTAAGCATATGAAAATTCCTGTAGCATCTCCCTGCACTGGGTAAGCAAGTACCAAACCCAGCACAAAATATTTACCTGTGTATTCTCAGTTGTACTTTAATTATGCTGTGTCTCACACTACCTATGAGCAGCCCCATGGCTTGTTTTGCATGGCCATGTAATGCTGAAGTTTTGACGATTCTAGCTGCCAAGGAGAGAAATAACAGCATTCCCCAGCTGATTTCAGCTGCTGTCGTAACTCTTAATGAAAGAGTCAGTCTCCAAATCTCATTTGGTTTTTTAATTATTATAATTACCACAGCCAGCTAAAAAATACTGGCCGGTGATGTACATGTTTTTGTGGAATTTAGCTTTACTTCTCTTACCAGGAAGCTGAAAAGTTTTGAAAAAAATGTCAAGCAAATTTGTTTCCCGTTCTTTGCTCACACTAGAATGGAGCAAACTGAGAGTAAGCAGAGACTTCAGATGTGTTAACATGCCCCTGCCACTGCCACCCAGAAAGGTGGGCACATTCAGTGCTAAGTGCTGGGTTTGGGTGGTCATTGATATAAAGCCCAAATACAGACTTGTGTCAGTCAATCTGTAGGTCTCAACAGGGTTGGAACTGCAAGATTTTCATTTTTTCCTCTCTCTATGCATATACGAATACAAACACCATGTATTTGTGTACACATACTATTATATATTGAAATTTACATGTATATCCGTGTATCTATCTATACAAGGGTACATTCAGGTTAGGATACACTGTCTAAAATGTTGTTGGTGTCCTGCTTCTCTTCTACTGTTTCTAGGCCCAGCCTGCCACGACGATGACAGTCACTTATTCCAGCAAAGTAGCAAATGCCACTTTCTTTGGATTTCACAGATTACTCCTAAGGTGGAAAGGCAGCATCTACAAATTGCTGTACAGAGAATTTATTGTTTTTGCTACTCTTTACACAGCGATAAGTGTATTATACAGGTACACTCTTTCCAATTCACATCTCATTAATTGTTATACTGAAGTTTCAGACTTCCTAGTGTTAGGCTGATGAATGATGGGGGGAGATTACTCTTTACTTATTGTCTTTTCCTTGGACATTTTCTAATATGCTTGCCTTTCCATGTTTCTTTTAAGGTTCCAGAGGAAATATGTAGAGTGTCAATACTGTTTATCATATTCAGCTGATCCTACTTTTAGTCTAGCATTGAGCAACCATCTTATTGAAGTTAGACTAAATAAAAACTCAGGGCTAGCCTAGGTTATACAGCTTTTGTCATTCTGACATTGAGCTGTCAGTTGTAAGCATGCTTCCCTGCTTTAGATCAAAGGTATAGACCTTTTGTTATCTCTGCAGGACTCTGTCTTTGGTTGTTTGGTGGGAATTTAACAATATTGAGAGGTAATAATTTTAGAGTGAACTTATATAGCCAGGAAAAGCAAAGTTTTGCTTCAAGCTAGAAAAGCATGCAAACTTGATTTTTAAGCTTGGAAAGAACCAAGGAAAACTGCATGGAAGCCAGACATGGTTATTATCTGTGTGTCAGCCAGCACCTGGGAGGAACACATTAGATGAAGAATTGCTTTTTTTATCAAAAGGTGTGAATTAAACACTGTATGACAGATACAATGCATCAATTAGTACAGTGAAACTTTTAATTGATGAAGTAGATTACATAGAAGTGTCAAAATTATGGTTCTGTTCTTACCGTGATCTCTAATTAGGTCACTGCTTTTTATTGGAAGCAAAGAGAAATTGAGCTACAGTTTTTCTCTGATTAAACACTATTTTTTGTTCAGTAATCTATACCTGTAAACAAAGAAAGAAAATTATAGCATTAATATGTAAAGAAACACTAAAGTCTCAGAGTTATTAAAATTAATCTAGTTTTATTGAAATGTCAGGCAGTTGAAGACCATGGTAAATACCCCACAGAAAGCTTTCTATATGTGCTCCAATTTTTATTGCACAATTGTAAGCAAAACCCACCAAATCTTTGTTGTATGTTCCTTGTATAGGAAATCAAAGAATAACGGTAACACAAATTTTAAAAATTATATTGAAGCTTGTTGTATTTCATCAAGTATTTTTTCCTGTGGGTAGAAGCTGATACCATGGTCCATTTGCTATCATTTGGTGAATATTTTCCTAATTGCATAATAAATACAGTTGCATTTTAATCTTGTGAAAAAGAAAAACTTCATAGGAGTAGGAATAACAAACCTGTTGCAAAAATGTAACATTTTCAAATCAGAAGAATTTGATTGGTAACTTTTTGCAATTCAAGCAGACCTGAGCGTTTCCATTACACTCTGAAAAAGGAGAGTAAGCTCCACTTGCAGACTTAGAGCTTGCTGTCATCTTTGGTCTGTGTGGGACAGCAAACTGATTCTCCAGACATATTGATCCAATTAGTAGTGTCAGTCAAATTAGTCCTGAGAAAACAAAAACGACCAGGGAATAATATTGCTGTTTCCTCCAGCTTCTTTAATACTCGCCAAAAGTGTTCAGACCTTTGCCTTTAAGAATTTGCTTGAGGGCATTAGCCAAGGTTGCTCCCAGTGCACATATCTGATTATTTATATGTGTTTGCACTTAGTAGCTAGTGTGCCAGAATATTATGGAAGGACAAATACATTTTATTTTTGCTGCAGATTTTTTCTTACAGGTAGCCAAAAACGTTTCTTTGAAAAACTATCAATTTATTGTGACAGATATGCTGAACAAATCCCAGTAACTTTTGTGCTTGGTAAGTACCGGTTAAATGTGAAATTATTCTCCAATTCTGTCTCTGCTGAGGCATTTTGTGAATGTGGGTGCATGGAAGCATTTCAGAGCTGAGGGGCATGTGGGAGGTTAGAGGTTCACAATAAATCATCCACTTCCAACAGGTCTCCTCAAGTTCAAGTTGGTTTTGTCACATCAACATTTATGCTTGTGTTCTTAATATACTAACAAAAAAAGTTTCCATATATCTAGAGCTAGATACATATATCTAGATCGAGATCGTGCCCACTAACACTGATACCTTGTAGCTGATCTTCCAATGAACTAAACTCACCCTAAGTTTTACTACAGAAGAGGAAATTTGGAAATCCATGGATATGAGATGCTCAGCTGGAATGTACTGTTACATTGCAATGTCCAATAAATAATTAGTATTTATTGCATCCTGGGGTTTGACATGGGTTATTGCATTTATTCTGGGAAATGTAGCAGTTTAGTTATATGAACGACACTCTGCAAACTAAAATTAAAGTAACTGAAATCCTGATAGGCACTGGAATATTTTTTTCCTTCCAACCCTCAGGTTTCTATGTTACTTTGGTGGTGAATCGCTGGTGGAACCAGTTTGTGAATTTGCCGTGGCCAGACCGTCTGATGTTGCTCATCTCCAGCTGTGTGCAGGGCAGAGATGAGTACGGGCGCTTGCTGAGGAGGACTCTCATGCGTTATGTGAATTTAACATCTCTGCTCATCTTTCGCTCTGTCAGCACAGCTGTGTACAAAAGGTTCCCCACCATGGACCATGTGGTAGGAGCAGGTACTGCACTTTGCCTTCCCAAAATTGCTTGCCTTTCCCTCGGAAGTGGGGGCTCGGAGAGGGAAGGAGCCAGCCTCATCTTTGCTTTCCTGTGGCCTCATACTAATCTGTTGGAATCAGTAAGTCAGGAGTCTCTCTGAATTCTTCAGCGAGAAATCAGAGTGCAGGGATTGAATTAAAGCCCTTGGATGGATTGAAGCATGTTAAGCCACTCACATAAAGTAGAAGTTTAAGTTTTAGTATAAGCAAGCAAGTAAGTAAGTAGAACAGGTTTTAAGTGCTTTTAATAAGTAAAAGGTCTTAGATAACAGTGTAGACGTTTGAGTTCCAGTGAAGGTTGAAAAACATAGTCTTAGATACTAGGAGTTCTGTGGAGGCTCCAAGAACATAGTTTTAGACATAATAAAGCTATAGTAAGAATATTGCTTACATTTTTCAGATAGAACAAGGTAGACCATACACGTAGTTTATACATAGCCTGGCGTGCTAAGAAACTAGAATTCCAATAGGTTAAAAAGTAGTGGTCCAAGTTTGTGTCTTAGCTAGTTGGGAAGTTTCTATATAAGAATGTGCATTGTGGAGAGCTGGTGCTTTCTGCCGTTGCTTTTGCCATTTGCTTTTTGCTATTTGCTTTTGTTTTGTTTCTGCTTTTATTTGGGACTTGATACCAAAACTTAGCATGGACTTTAGTGCCTGTGACTTTTGAGACTGATGTGCTTCTGCAATAAACAACTTTATAGCAACTATTAGCTGCTTGGCTCATTGAAGAAAACAATGTTTTCGACAAGTTGGGTGCCTAAGAGCACCCGGAGTACTAACTTCACACTAATCCACGTCAAAGCAATCACCTTTTTGTTAGTGATTTAAACGACATAACCTTAAGAGTGCATCTTTAATGCTCTTAAAGTCTTTAGCAACACTATAGAAATCAAACGAGTTGGACAGTCTTATGTGAATCTGCTTTCAGACTCCATGGAGGCAATAGGCCTGCCCCAAACACTCAGCCATATGGAGCAGGTACAACATTCTCTAAAGCACAAAAAAGCCCAAAGTTGCAATATAGTATGATGCAGTAGGAATGGTGACTTGTTATGTGGCATTGCCTCAGTGTCTGGGATTTCACTTGGTCCGGTGTATCAGAGATTGATCTCTGCAAGCACTTCACAAGTACAGCTTTATCTCAATTTTTATTTAGGTAGACTGCATTTTAATTAGATTGCACATTTTAAGTGTTGTGATTTACTCAAAAAAAACCCTCAGCCCCAAGGGTTTTTTCTTTATATTGAAAAACTTACCTTAAACTTAGTTTTTCAAGGTTAAATACACTAAGTATTAAACATGTCTTTGTTTTCTGTTTCTTTCAATTACACAGTGAGTGTAATGATGGTGAAGATAGTTCAATTGGGTAACACTTTGATTGTCTATCAAGGACTGACTGCTCGGTACTTAAAGGCAAGGTGTGGCACTGTGCCTTCTGACTGGCATGGTCAGTGTCAGAGGCGGAACAGCAATGCCAAGATATGGGGGTCTGTTCCAAATAGAAGTCTTACTTGCTACTGAATGTCTTGAATTTCTTAAAATCTTTCCTTTGGCAGAGATTAGTAAGCAAAGCTTTAGCAAGTTAAAATATGCAGTGTGTATATACATATACACACATTTCAAATATGTGTGAGAAGCTTTGGATATTAAAGAAATAAATGCCAGGCAGTATGCACCAATCTTACTGGGAAAAAAAAAAAAACAAAACACCAAAACCAAAACCATTTATGTTGGATTCATGGAATTTTAAAGCTCTTCCTTGTGGTGTGCAACAAAACTGTTTACCTGAGTCTGTGAGAGGTCAAGGAAGCTTCTGTCATTCTCCCCAGCAATCTGCTTCTACTACACACTGGAAAATTACAACATTTCCAGGCAGCTAATCCAGCTCTGCCACCCTATTGCTAAAGACAATCTGTTCCAAAGAAACGGAATGTCACACCATTGTACCAAAATTGTAGACTGGAAAGCAAGTTTTGATTGTGGTTTTTTTAAGTCTTCTACTAAAAATCTTCTACTATAAACTCTGTATATAAGTATAGATAGTGTAGTCATCTCTGGATTTCAGTACTTATTTTGTAGGTTTTAATGCATATTGTACTGCAGAATTTTTATCGATGCAGTACCAAGCTTTTTGGGGCATATTTTGCTGCTATTAACATCCAGTGACTTAGACAATACTCTGCAATCATCCCCTCCCTAGCTCCCTGTGCCATTGCATATCAGACTGCATGGGTGGGAGGCATTTAATATGAATGTGAACACCACAAATCTGATACTTACAGCACAGTCATCATTGAAACAACTTAATGACGATTTTGCATTTTGCTGTCAAACTGAGAACAGCCATGACATAACTTTTGCTACACACTTCTTTTTTCAGCAAATGAACTCCTTAAATTCATAGATTTTAAATTTGAGAACAGTGCCACAATAATCTAGTCTGACTCATCCATAACACCAGGCACAAAAACTTGCTAGCAGCATCTTTTATCATGCTTCAATTTCTGACTGAGCTATAATACCTTCTAGTAATGTAATCAGCCCAGATTTAAAATTCTGATGGATATACTGGAGACTACACTGCATCCTAGGTGAACAGACTTTCACAACAGTAAACTTGCTGTTGAAGAGTGACATTCTCAGTCTGAACTTGCACCGTGTTATCTTCTATTCACTGGGTTTTGTAATAGGTTTGAGTTCTTTTTATAATTAGAAGAAAACATAGTTTTTCCCTCAATAGTTACCTAGTTAGCAGACTGCATAAAGGCTTGAATGAAACTCAGGAGCTTCACCAAGTCTAGTCTGTCCCTATAGGATACATTCCTGAGTGCTGGACCTTCCTTCTGACTTTTTTTCATGTTTTAGCACTCTTTATGAGCTGTAGGCAGTAGGTCAGTGTAGATTCACTCCTTTATGACACTGACTGCTGGAGCAGACATGCTGTGTCAAATGCCCAGCAGCCACCCTGAGCACAGCAATCCTGTTGGCTGCAAGGTGCAAGAGGGAAGTTGGATGCTCAAGAACACAACTGTTAAAACACAGAGTAATGAGTGAGCAGCTGAGCAGAGAGCACCCCAAAAGAGCTGATGGGAAACACTGAAGGGAAACTTGAGGTGTGAGCTCAGCAACACGAATACCTATGGATGGCTGAAGACTGAAGTCCCAAAGCCTCTACTGAAAGGAAGCACCTAAATTAACCCTTTCCCATATAACACAGCAGAAAATGAAACTTTTATCTACTTGATCATGTTCCTTCTTCTCTAACCACTAGCATTAAAAATATTTAATGTGAATAACCTGAACCAGGGTTGTCTCAAACCATTGAGTTTTGACAGAACTGAATTCTCTTTGAATCACTTAAGGGAGAGCATAAGTGATTTTTTCCATCCAGGCTTGTGTTCTCATCAATAATTTTCGTGTAAGATCTCTTTGGCTGACATTGTTCACATTAGTATCCTTTGATTATTTATTGATTGCACTCTGTGTTACTCTTTTGATACTTTCACAAGGATTCAGTGCCCTGTCATTCCTTTTCAAGATATTGGCACAATATTTGACAAATATTTCCCATTTTCTGGAGCTCCTCCAGTCTTCCAGTGCTTGTCAAAAGCAGTATTCTTGTTTTTAGAGTTTCTTGGTTAATTCTTTGAATACTCCTAAATAAAAATAGCACGACCATATTTAGAACCATGTAATTGTAATAACTAAAGTTTGATATCTTCCTCCAAAGTGTTTCTTTACCACTGCAATAACAGTGAGCTATTCTGAACTGTTTGTTGTCTGTATTGCCAGCATTAAGAGCAATCCAGAATTAACATTTTCTGTAATAAGAATACTAGATATTATTAATATTCATCAAAGACAATATTTAATCTATATTAACACAAAAACCTCAATGCCAATTTGAACTTAATAATTTACAAAACAGACTTTGTTGAGCTTTCTGAAAAGAAGGTGCCCAGTTTCAGTGAAAAGCTGAACTGATCCTTGCTGTTCTTTGTGACCCCTTCAGGCTGTGTCTTTCAAGACCCTCCAAGTGACTTGTATCCAGTCTTTACTCCAGACTCAATTTTTTGTTTTTCTGTCTGTTTCAGCCTGACAGAAGCATCTTTTCCTGTCCTGTAATAAGCAGACTGGCAGGATGAAAACTAAAGGCAGCCTGAAAGACTGACTTTTAGGAGTCAGGAGTCATGATTAGCAGGTTAATTTGTCTGGTTGCCTGATTATTTCTGTGAAGTTGATTGTGAGAGGTGGCTGCAAAATGCCCAGGGAATTCTTAAAAGCTTTGTCTTATTCTGTTCTGAAATTCTATGATACTGCACAAGCACCATCTCTTGCTACTGAATATTTTCTCTTCCACAGTGTTTTATGTCCTGTCCTTGCCTTCCTTCTCAGTAGTTGCAGTATTTCATACCTCCTGTGTAGGCTTGTCCCAACTGTACAATAGTGACATTTTCCTGAACAACAGAATATTTAATACAACCGTGTCTAGCAAATCTCCTTTAATTTAATTCACATTTCTGTGCAACAGAACTGAGTTTCTATATATTTATTTGTTTGTTGTATCATGTATCTTTAGCAATATTAGCCATAATGGACATATTCTTAGTTACTTATACTTATGCATATACTTAATTACTGGTTAGAGTCTAATGTCAATTTCCTTACTGAATTTTCAGCATTCACACTTGTAATTGGTTGGCTGAGCCCCCTATTTTGGGGCTGTCATGTTACAAACTTTGTCTTATTTCAGAACTAATGTCAATATAACAAAAGAAGCTTTATGCTCACCCTGATAGATGTCACACACCTGAGCAAAATCTAAGATCCTCCAAACATGACAATTGCTCCAATACTAGAAAATCCAGGATTTGGACAAAGGAAAATGTCAATTTCCTGAGGTTGTTTTTATCAAAGCCTGGATGGAAGGAGGACAGCAGAGCAGAGCTTTCTTCCCCAGGGGGGTAGAGGTGTTGCTCCAAAAGCCAGCTGCTCCCTTGCCAGTCCCAGGCAGAGCCTGGCTCTGGCACAGGATTTGTCACACACAGTCCTGGCTCCCTGGTTATGTGACCTTGGACTTGCTTGCAGCAGGGGGAAGCAGGGCTTCAGGAGGCAGGGGAACTCTTCAGGAAACCCAATACCTTCCCAGCAGCCCAGCAAGGCAAATCTCCAGGCAGAGAGCAGATTCAGCTTGCAGCCTCACAGCAGTCACCTGGCCCAGTGTCCCCTTAGCAGCAGGATTTCTGTGCACCATTCCCTCTTCATCTCTTTGCACGCCTTCATAACCCCAAAGAAAACATGGAACAATCTGTCAGGGAAGTATTTCACTGGCAGAAGGCACACACTCTGTTGGGCTCTGTTTCATGCATGTGCTTGTACCCTCTGTTGCTTGCTCACTGCTTAGCAGATATAACAAAAAAATCATCAGAATCAGAAGGTCATGTAACTACCCTTCCAATATATGTCAAAATGCTTCTGAAAGCCATCATTGGTGAAAAATGTTTCTTGACTTATATATCCAGTTCCCTATTTTTCTGAAAGTAGAATATGCAACTAGAGAGTAATTTGTACAATTCTTAGTATTCTGTGTATCTACCATGTCAGCAGTTCAATATGAGAACCTAGTAATAGCAAATTATTGCCTATATTGGTAAAGAGGAATTTAGCATAGGTAATTAATGCAAAAAGAAGTTCTTTCAAGCAAGATCTGTCCCAGAATTTTTTTTTTAAGTGGAGGTTAATAGTTAGAATTGTAAGTCGCGTCTATGCAAATATTACATAAACAGATAGAAACATATTCCAAATTTATAGTATCAGTAGTACTGAAAGCACAGAATAAATGAAGGTTGTTTGGTTTTTTGGTAAACAGGTTTTATGACAAAATATGAAAGAAAACTTTTTGATGACCTTAAGTCTCCCCACCTGAAATACTGGGTTCCATTTGTCTGGTTCGGAAATTTGGCATCAAAGGCACGAAAAGAGGGAAGAATTCGAGATAGTGTGGATCTGCAGACATTGATGAATGTAAGTAGAAAAAGGAAATCTACAAAAAGATTATCTGAAATTGCTATGTTGCTTTTTACTTACATAATTGGTTTTATTTAGTATGAACAGATCTCCTGTGTCATCTAAATGACCTTACTCAGGATTTATCCCACTTTTCTTTGTGCACCAATGTACACTTAAACACACACAGCAGTATTCACTGGGATTCTTTATAATATGACTAAGAAGGTATTGAAAGAAGAAAAAAAATTGATGAGTAAAAAATTATTGTAATATCACTCTACATTTATACTTGTTCCATTTGCTATAAATATGAGAAATTAGAATAATTTGGCATTTTGAAGATTTTATTATCAGCTTCAGAGAAGATAATCTCCCTGAATATTTCATTAAGTGGTAAAATATCCTTTTTATGATGTAATATATTCTCTTTCATGTATCACTAGACTGTGACTAAGATAGAAACAGATGATCAATTGTGAAGAAATACAAAGTATACTAAGCACTCCAACTCCATAAATCAAGTCAATATTCAAATGAGGTGCTGGGTACAGTTATAGTATCAATTTATATATATTATACTTTCTTTTCTCCTGTCCTTTTATATGTGCAAAAATGAACTGCAACAAAATATTTATAATTCAGAATTGTATCCCATGCAATTTTATTTTGCTATGGTTTCTTGCTGGTTGGTTTTTTTTTCCCCTTTTTAGGAGATGAATAAGTACCGGTCTTGGTGTAGCCTTTTGTTTGGTTATGACTGGGTTGGAATTCCACTGGTCTATACCCAGGTACTGAGCTACTATCCTGCAGAAAATTCAAAATACAATTTCCATAAAAGGGGGGCTGGTACCAAACATTCACAGTATAAAACATTCATAGTCCCAACCAGAGTCTCTGAGATACTGAGCACTGGCTCACTCACACAGGATCATGGGGACCTCGCTAACTATTTAAGGCGTTTTTAATGCAGAGATGTTTTGAAGATCTGGCATAATTTGGAAGAGGGGAGGGAAGCACTGAAATGTTTTTCTGTTTCCTGAATGTTCTTCCTGTGGCCTATATTTGCAGTACCTCCTACAGATTTATAAATTATATAGCAAAAGGCAGATGAAGGCCTTTGGGTATGTGTTGCCTTTTATGCATATGATGGTATTAGTTCATTATTTCAATGAAGTTCTGTTCTTTGCAGGTTGTTACTCTTGCAGTCTATACTTTTTTCTTTGCCTGCCTGATAGGGCGTCAATTTTTGGATACTGACCAAGGGTATCAGGGACACGACTTAGATATTTACATTCCAATCTTCACACTGCTGCAGTTCTTCTTCTACGCAGGATGGCTCAAGGTAAACTGGCTTTCTGGACAGGTGACGGGGGAACTCTCCTTGCGGGGCTGGTCGAGGTGTCAGATCTGTGACACACATGTAAAAGCACCAATGAATTAAGAGGTGAATTCAGCCTGAAGTGTTCTGTGGTCATATAGAAATATCGTGCAATACATTTTTAATTCTACCTGTCAGACCGTATGGTAAGAAATGGTTGTGAATCTGAAAGAGCCTGTTTTAGTAGCACCAATGCAGCCACAGCTCCCCAAGGAAGTATTACCCCCACGAGGTCTCAGGACTTGAACTATAAAGTGACAGAACAGCGATTTTAAAAACCTTTCTCCCACTCCATCCTGCAGTGGGGAACTATGGCTGCAGACCTGGCATCAGCTGAAAGGGACTGAATGATACTTTCTTCTTATGATCAAAGCTGGCAGTATCTGCTGTTAACCTCATCAGATGCAGGCAATTAAAGGTCCCCAATCCCAAAGGGCTATAAAAGAGTGGCAGACAATATTGGCTAGAACTCCACTTCATAAAAATGTTCATAAAAAGGAAGAATTATAGAGGAACTGGATGCTGCCCATCAGCCTGTTGATGACTGCTAGGCTAACATATCACAATCAATCTGATAGTTGAGTAATTAAGCCACATACATCAAGGTGGTTCTCTCCTCTGCAATAGACTAACTGGAAAAAGTTTCATTGGGGTCCATGTACATTAGATTTCCTTTTGTGTTTATTACTCACGGCTGGAAACATAGAGCTAACTTTTCTGTTCGAATATAAATTGAACAAAGTTGGCCAGTTTTAGAGAAACCTTCCAACAGCCAGTTCCAAAGGTCAGAGTAGAGAAGGCAGCACACCAAGCTGGCAGATTGTGAGGAAAAGTAAAGTGTGTGCAGGACAAACTCCTCTAGTGTTGTGTCCTAGGAAATGAGAGGGACAAGGATTTTGCTGCACAGGGACTAGCCTGGGTGGGAGCAGGAGAGAGAGGAAAGGAGCCTGGTACGGTGGAGAAAAGTGAGGTTTTATCTCTAGGCAGTGTCTTCCAGTTATACTAGAGGGTTACAAACTGTAAGCTGTTCCTCTTGACCACCTTGCTAGTGCTCCTGAGAGAAACGGGTTTTCCTTCTTCAGCACCCAAGGATGTTTATAGCATCTCTTCCTGTTAGGCTCAGAGCTTCCAGCCAACTCCTGGCTGTGGCAGGTATGAGATGCCATTGTAACAGAAAAATCTTCTGCATTAGAAAATGAAAGGGACAAGAATAAGTTTTTAAAAGTTAATTGAATATCAGCAGAGTTTCCTCAGACTGAAGGCTCGTCCAAACCTTCAGTGCCCCAAGTCAGGATATTTTTGTCTTGAAGGTTACAGCCAGTTTCCTGCCGAGTGTGTTTGCTGCCAGGCAGCAAAAAGGGCCCTGAAGACTTGACTTCCAGTAACTTGGCAATTCCTCAGAAATAATGGGTTATTAAACTGAGCTCATTCCTTGGCCTCAAGCCTGGTCTGTTACACCTATAATACAGGGCCAAATTTTCCCATTTACAAGAGGCACTTCTAGATCCCCATTTTCATTACAGGGACAGATGAACTGCCCAAATACAGAGTTTAGTTGTCCAGCACTATATTCCTTTCTGGAGAATAAAGTCATGTCTCACATGCCAGGACCAGGTCAGCCAAAAAAAAGTCACCACCACTGTTTCCTTTGTCCCAGTCCTTACTTTTTTAAGGTCATGTGATAGGTTTTATGGTGGATTTTTGGGTAGGGGTCTGCTGGTTTACAGGAAGCTGATCCATATTTTCCCTGGAGAGCCACAACACAGACTGTGTTCTGGCTCCTCCCTATTGCAGCACCTTCATAGCTGTGCCCAAAATTTAATACCATGTCAATGAGTATGAGCATAGGTGACCCCTGTCTCCTTTCATTGCTCCCACCTTACAGGTGTTTCTGTAGTGTTAATCTACCCAGCAGTTCTTTTGTTGTGTGCCAATGCTGGCCTGGGAAGTGGTGGCCTCAGAGAATCAGGAAGTGCTTATCCACAGGTACAGCCTGGAGGGACATAGGAAAAATATCCAGGGAGCAACTGCCTTACAGCTATAAGTTACTTAGATCATAGCTATCCACAGTGGGGTTAATGAACAGGACTGTTTAATCATACAGTGGCTTTACCCATATTCACATTAAACCAAGAACCTAACTGCTGGCCCTGGTGAACACAAGGAAGGCTTGGAAGGGTCATCAAGAATGTGATCAGCTTCAAAATCGGGGCTTGAAAAGATAAGCAGAAGGAGAAAAGAATGGAGGGGAGAGGATATTTAATGTCAGTGTACCAAGAAACTAGGAAATGGAGAAGTAGTCTGAATTTTCTAAAATTAAAAAAAAATAAATTATGTTTAATCTTTTTTTTCCTCCATCAGCAGCTATGTGCTTACTCTCCACACAATGTACTTTAGTGATCACAGGGGTGGGGGGCAGTTTCTGGGGATTTTTCACTGGATATGGGGAGCCAGAGAGGGCTCCCTTTCCAGACTAGTTTCCAGACTAAGGTATCTCACCACGAATGTGTCTGAGCTCACTGTTTCATTGTGCCCTCCACAGGATGAGCTTCTGCCCTGCAGTTTCAACCACTTCAGATACAAAAACCCAAGGCAGCAGGCTGAATTAAAGAACACACTCATATTCTGTCTCTGAGATTTGGCTAGCATGATGCACAGAGTTGATTTGAGTCAAATTTTTTTGTAGGCTTCTTTTCCTCAAGAGCCTTGGAAGGTTGCCTTTGGGGTTAATGCTGATAAAGAAGCAGGGACTGAGGGCTGAAGTGGAGAGATGAGCTCTACTCCCTCCAGCAGACTCCAGCTGCAAGGCTTGGGAATACTGACCCCATGGGCTGGTGGACTATTGCAGACAACAGTGCAATAACAGAGCCTCTAGCTGCTAAACCATTCATTTAAATGAGCCACAGACAACAGTAAGGAAAGGTAAAGACTATTGGATGTGACAATTGCCTTGGCCCAGACATATCTCAGTTCCCAGCAGGCCAGCTGATGATTATGACTGACAGCAGCAGCGAGGCACAGAGATATGAATCTACAGTGAAAGCAAGCTGTTCCTTCACTAGGCTGGCAGAACCATCACACAGGAGCTCAAGCTATGATTGCAAGTGACAGGCAGGGAGAGAGAGAAAAATCCAATCCTACTTTCTCTGCAGCAGTAGTCCTGACATGGCATGCCAACCTCTCTTCAGTGTCTCGTTTTCTTTCCAGGTCGCTGAACAGCTCATTAATCCGTTTGGAGAAGATGATGATGATTTTGAAACCAACTGGTGCATCGACAGAAATTTACAGGTTGCTGTTGTTATTTCGACTTCCAGCTTTTCTCTACCATAGGTTATCATCACATCTAATACTATGTCTTATATTGAGGAATAAATCAGGGCAACAAGTGCCAGCAAAACATATTCTTTCCCTGAAGAATTACCTGTGGCTGTGATCCACAGAGTTTGTTTTCACAAGCTAATTCATCTTGATTTTGGTATTTGGCATTTACAATGCCTGACTAAACATGCAAACAGCTGACCTTAAATTATAAAACCACTCTATGCCTGGAAAAACATGTAATATAGGTCAATCCTGCAAAAGCCAAAAGTCATTCCCATATAGATAAAAACACATTTTACTAATCTGTCTCGAGATTAAAATATTGCATATGAACATTCCTTTAAAAAGAAAGGCAGCAAAAATAGTAAAAAGACCTAAGAGCTAATAAGCAGGGCCAGTGCCAGGATTCATGTTCAGATGCTGCCACCCACGGCAGTACTGTGGCCAGCACAGGAGCCAGTGTCCCCAGTCACAGGGGCTGTGAGATGACAAGGGTAGTTTTATTCCAGTTGCCCCTGATTCCCAAAGAGGCCTGGCTGTTGTGCTGTCAAGGAAATCAGAGACATGAGGAGGTCCCACAGCACACACTGCTCCCCTTGCACAGAGCCAAGCACGGGACTGGCTGCTGTCAGTCCCCACTTCACCAAAGCAGAGCCCAGGAGTTCGGGGGAGCAGGGGCCAAATAAACCACCAAATTAGCAAAGTAAGCAAAGTAAGCCATGCAAGAATGGGAAAGCACTTCACACTGACAAAGATGCTCTATGGCTTAGCACCATGGCAAGACACTCACGCTACTGTGTCTTAGAGCCCGTTGTGTAAAATTTATTAGAAAGGATGTTCACATACTTAATTCAGAATGTCTTAAAATGGCAATGAAGCCTATCAGAAAGATTCTTGAGCTCTGGACGTTTTAAGGAGCACATGTGTAATACTTTACACAGACTTTTCATAGCACATAAAGGATCACATTTAACTCATACGTGTGGGAAGGACTTCAATATGGCACAAATATCTTTGCAGTACAAAACATTCAAGTTATGGTAAAATTTGTGCTTTCATGAGTGCAGGCAGATATAGGGGTTTAATTTTATAATACTGAGTCTCTTCCTAATGCCCAGGCCATCATACACAGTAATGTTAAAGGGTTCCTGGAAGAAATGTTGACCCAGGGAGTATAAAGTAGACTATTTCATATCCTCCACTATGTTGAAAGTGACATGATTTATGCAAAAAATTTTAAGGTTTCACTTCTGGCAGTGGATGAGATGCACATGAACTTGCCAAGGATGGAGAAAGATATTTACTGGAATGATACCTCTGCCCGGCCACCTTACACAAAAGCAGCTGCTGATTACTGTATTCCTTCATTTCTTGGATCGACTATTGAAATGGGGTGAGTGGCACTAAGGGTCCTCAATGCCATGAGGAAGATGAGCCCCCTGACAGTCTGCATTGATTGGCAGACAGTCAATGCAGGGATGTGGGCTCTGACAACACTGCAAGCAGAGAAAATGGAAATGGGAAAAGAAATTAGGAGGGAGTGGACAGGCTGGTGTTGGTGGGAGGATGTCTCCAGTGGTCCATGTGTTCATCCAAGCTTAAATTATATAATCAATAAATAGAGCATATTTGCAGGGAGGGTTTGTTGATATTCTCTGGACACATTTATTGATAGTCTCTGAGCACAGGATGATACCTGAAGACAGTCACTGACTTTTCTTAATAATACTTGCTTTGCTACAGCTTCTTCATGCATCCCCAGGTAGCAAAACAGCTATTCCTTTGTTCATTTAGTTAGCAGACAACAGTTGAAATCAGTCCAGATTCTTATGAAGATCAAGAAGAAATCATCTTAAATGTTGTATAACTTTTCATTGACCAATAATCCTGGCATAGAAATTGAAATGGTCAGATTTTGTGAAGGTACAAAAGGGATTTATTTACAAAGATCAACAAAGAACGATGGTTACAAAGAACAGAGGGTATGGGATTGCCCCCTGTTGTCAGGATCTATATGAGAAATCAGAGACAGGCCAGTTAGCTTAGAAGCTGTCAGTTTAAATACCTGTGACATATAGACAGGTCAATAAGTGTAAATACCATCATGCCTGAAAAAATAACAGGCAAGTAGATGTTCTCATCTGAAAACCTTCTTTAAGGTTTTACAAAAGCTGTTTTTTTTAACTTTAAAAATTATCTCAAGATATATTAAATTTTCCCATCATTTCCCACCTTTACCAAAATAAAATGTCTTTAATTTTTTGTTTCATTTGGCCTCAAAATTGTGGTTTTCTCATTTTTATTCCCCTTATTTTTTCATTTTTGCATGCATTCTACTACAAAGGACAATGGTTTATATGAGTTCCTTTTATCACACACAGCCTTTTCAGAAGTTATTTCCTTCTGGAAAATACTATAAAATGGTAAAAAGTAAAGAAGAAAAATTCATAGAATATACTTTATTTTAAGGAAATTTCTAGGGGGGTAAAGGTGACAAAGAAGAAACATCATTAAGTCTGCAAACAATTTTTTAACAAGAAGTACTTCACACAAAAAATGAAGGAATGAATGAAAAGTAGCTCCCTGATAGCTCCTGTGGAATGCAAACAGCTCTGATGTGTTGACTTTTTATTAATTATCGTCTCATCTGAAACATTTCTCTGTTAATATCTCTAAAAATAATGGATAGTTCTTACACAAACTTCAAAAACAAGCTCTAAAAATTCTTCCAAGTCCAAAGCAAATATATAAAACTTGAGCCCAAATCCAAAGTCTTCTCCAGTCACCTCAAGCTAACATCTGGAACAGGTTGCCCAAAGCAGTTTAAGAGGGCAGCGATTAACCTGAATTTGAATGGGACCTCTACCACTGCTAAGTAAGTGAGAGTTGGCCATCTGAGTAATTTCAACGTTTTCTGAAACTGTTGTCCTGGTTTCCAGCAGTAACTTTTCACTGTTGCTATTTTTGCCTGAAGGATTCTCCTGAAAAATTAACTACAGCACTTTCTCCCCTTTCCCTCACCCTGAGCACAAGCCTAACCATGGTTAGGGGACTGCCCTCCAGCCTGGTCCTTGGGAGAAGAGACATCTAGATGTGGAAAGTTCTCTGTGTGATCTGGCTGATTCGAAGGCACAGACACTCCTTCCTGTCACCCTCATCCTTTTCTTCCTTCTCTTTAGAGACACACTAGGGCCTTGGGTCTATATCTGAGACATGGGATAAATGTGGATAGATACCCAATGCTTCCTATATTTAAGTGACATCTACTACCTGGCTTTATTTGGCAGGCTGGCTGATACTGAATTCCTCTATGGGGAAGAGTGGCCTTGGGAAGAGGAGAAACACCAGAGACAGCATTCGGTTTTGAGAAGAGTCAAGAGGTTTCTCAGTGTCCATGAGGGCCCTTCATACCCAACTCACCAGCGCTACAGTCGGCAGACGAGTGAGAATTCCGTGTTTTTCCCAGCAGATGAAAAGGGGCACATCAGACGGCTGCAGGAAATGCACACAAGAGGGAGGCACTCTACCTCAAGCTTCAAGAAGAAATATGAAGGAGTTAGCAGAAGTAACAAACTTCATAGTAGCCGAGAGCTAGGACCCATAACAGAAACATCAAGGAACGAGGCACAGTTTGATGACAGTGACACCTCATCTGAGACAACCAAGCCAGTTCCTGAGGTCATCGTTTCTGAAGCCCAGGAGATTGAACCTGATGTGCCAACAGAGCGCTCCTCAAGCGTGCCAGAAGAGAAGCTCCAAAGGATCTTAGCTGAGGCAAACGTGGCTCTTCTGAACCAACCCTTTTTCCCCCCAGAAATGACTCCATACTTCTCAAGTTCAGAGGTGCATCAGTCACTTCCTAGTGTGATAGGAGAGCCCAAACATGAGCCCCAGGTTAGTAACATAGCTGGTCTCATAACAGATCAGGAGAGAAACCTTCAGCGATGGAGTTTACCAAGCTTCCATAGTCCTAGTACAGCATCAAATGCTGATGCTGCATCACCTTCAACAGATTCTGGGACAACTTCACAGCAAAGGACATTCAGTGATGGGAAAAACGTTACTTCTGCTTCTGCTCCACAAACATTGGAGATGCAGGACTTATGGGAAAACCTAGGCAGTAAAGAAACAGCCATAGTAGACTTTTCTAATGAGGAGAGTGGAAGAAAACTCTGACCATTCTTCCTCTGGGTTTGACTGAACTTCTTGTCTTCTCTTGAACATGGTTCTCACACAAATTTGCTGAAAGTGCTGAAGGGCAGACTCAATACTCAGACAAGTCATGAACAAGATCCAGCAGAGGATTTGGGCACCTAAATAGGTGTCATTGTGGTGACATACTTTAAGATACTTGGTCACTGACTTGAAATCTGTGACCCTGTGGGAAATACATTTACAGGGAGAACTGGGAGCCTCAGGATGTATATGGCAGTGAACTGTGTAGACATTACTAGAGGAAACACTAAGGTTATCAGAAGAGTGGGTTGGATATACACTGAACTCTGCTGCCTTTGTCTGCTCCAACAGCTTAAGGTGCATGACATCCCTGTAAGATCTACCAACAGTTTTGGTTTCTACTCAAGTGGCTCAAAGGCAAGATGTGGGCTTAATTCCTTTCTCAGTTTGGAGAGATTCAGCCCACCATCTCTCACTGCCTGGAGGAACACGTGAAAAATCAGGCCCCTCATTTGTGTAGGACAGTATTCTGCCCCACTCCTGACGAAGCTATGCCACTAAAGAGTAGAAAAAATAAAAGGATTAAATGTTTCATTTAATTTTAAGAAATGGAAGGTGCAAAACAGCTGATGAGCTGAGCATGGGATGTTTTGGAGCACATATGTGGCATACCCGGTGACAGTTTACTGTAAAATGAGGCTCCCAGGTGGCCTCCCTAGTGATGACAGGGCTGCAGCACACTCTCAAGAGGTGATGGAGCTGCAGGTGCAACTAAGCTTAGGGCTCCACTCTTGTGGAGGTCTTCAGCTGGAAGTGCACAGACTGTAGTCATCCCAGGTAGACAACAAAGTGGCCCATGACTCCTACCAAAACTGTCCTCTACTTCCTAAACCTCTCCCCCATTCCAGGAAAGCAGCCACAGCTACTTGGATTTAGCTCTCACCCACCTTTATAAAAGTGCAGTCTGGAGAGTGTTGCCCACATTCTCCCATCAGTGAGTATCCAAGTAGAGGACAGACAAGGTAGCTCAGGGACTGAAAGAACAGACAGAGGGGGGGACTGAAAGTTCTGAGTCTGCAACAACCAGCAAAAGCAGCATGGACTGCATGGACACCAAGTCCACCCTTGCTCAGAAGGCTGCATTTCAGAAAACAAACCAGCCTCTCTACCATGGTAACTGGTAACACCAGTGGCCCCTGGGAGACTTCAGGACTCCCTGAACCTGGGAAGGGAATGAACAGACCTGCCTGATCCTGCTCCTACAGCCAATAATTTAGGTGAGGATCCCTTCCAGCCAGTATCACGTCCAGCAGGACTCGATCTCATCTGGGTAGGCTTTGAACAAAAATCAACTCCCCTCCCCACTTGTACTTCTTTCAGCTTTATTTCGTCTGGAAATTGGCTCCTGCTGCTGTTATCAGGCAGGGTCTGAGCAGAGCCACACCCTCAAATCCTCCAAAGACACTAAACAACAACACATGTATCCCATCAGTTTAGGAAGAAGAGGACACTTGGCCCAAGGAAGCACTGTTTAAATTCATATTATGTGAATTCGAGTTATGCAGGGAAGCCAAGCACAGATTTTCCAGGCACCTATGGAAGGACTTCTTCACACCATGAGAGGAGGTGACACTGGTGTCTGACAGCAGCTTATTGACATTTGATCACAGTTTGGAGCCAGGTGTTCTGGTGCAACCTCACCCTTGCCACTCCACAACAAGTCTCCAGGCAATTCAGGTTGCTATGTTCAGGTTTGACCAACAAAATGAGAAATTCTATGGAGTGAAATTATATGGGAATAAACAGTGCCTTAGCCTGGCAGTCTGATTTTCTGAATGGCCCTTATGCAACTTCTGGAAGCATTTCCTTTTTCCTTCTGATTCCCTCTTTCTTCTTGTAGCTGAAGCCACAATTTTCAACTCAATGTTTCTCAATCTAATAGCATCTGTAATTGTCAAGGAACTTAATTTGCCAATGAGGTTACCTTAAATAAATGGCTAATTTTAAGTAGGAACAATACATTTTAAGTCAGACAGCTCCAGTCACACAGCTATAAACAAAGTAAAAGTAACTGCTGCTCTCCTCTATAGCAGTTTTGTTAAAGTCAGGAGAGCAGTACAAGTTTCTGGGCAGTTTGGCCACACTCCTCCCGGCCATGCATGTATAGGAAGGGTTTTCAACAGCTTTGAAGGAAGCCTGGCCCATTATCTAGCTCTCTCCTCACACTACATAAGCTTGAGGAGCTGTGCTTTACACTGTAAGGGAACTTAAGCTGGAAATTAGAGATGACTCTCAAGTGTCCACCCCAAATCTGCACTGAGAGTCCAGTCCCACCACACCTCCTCCCTCTAAACCTTCACACAGCTTCCACCAGGGCTTAAGGTATTGGACCAAAGTGCTCTTTGCCCCCAACCCAGACATCAGCTTGTTTCATCCCAGATAGGCATTAAAAGTCTTCCCAGCTTCTCATCATCCAGCTCTGCTCATCTTCTTCTCAGCCTGGCTGCTGCCTAGGATGCAAACTGCTGCTTTCCACCAATACATCTTTCCATTAGACATCTAATCAGCAATGATTTTGCTATCCCTCCCACTCACTCTTCCAGCACTCTCTGGCCCTGCAACTGTGTTCATTATTTGATGGAGGCTAAGGGTGGCCACACAGCAGCCATTAGGTAGGTAAGAGCTTCAGTTAAGCCCCACAGAGGTGTCCATTACACATGTAGATGCATGCTAAATTAGGAATTACAGCTCTGAAGTCACGCAATGCAATCTGTAATACACTGCCAACGTTTCACACAGTGGGCCAGCTCAGGTTAGCTACAGTATTCTGTTCATTGCTTCTGAAGAAGCTAGTGCTGGGATGAGTTATCAGAAAAATTTCTTCTCATTTAATCTGTTATCTCACTTTGGTAAACATCAGCGTACTCTAATTTGTATTAAATTGTCTTTCAAGATTATGCACTCTCTTATGCACTTCTCTCAGTAAACTATTTGCCTTAGCATGGTAAATTGAGTATTTTAGTAAACCCAAAAATCTACAAGTCATGTTCACAGGTATAAGTAACGTTGAATTATTTTATGAATAAAGGCACCATGAGAAACACCATCATCCTGGTTGTACTGAACTCTCAAGAAGCACTTCTGGCAAGGGTTTGACCTATCATACAAATCAACAGCAAGAAGCTGGCAAAGCTGGACAAGGATAGAGCAGGGCCAGGACAAGCAGGTCAGAGCAGCAGTTTGCTCCCATCAGATGGTGTTAATCATGAGCAAGATCAGATATATGAGAACAAAGAGAGGGCTAGTCCCTGTGCATGCTGCCTGACTTTCCACCTGTCTCTAGAATGTGTTCACACTCGGCACTGGAATTCATACAGCCAAGATGTTAGTGCTGGGGCCGACTTGCTGTGGGGACATGTCCCAACACCCTTAAAATCTTCTGTTGTTAATAACAGATCTCTAACTCTGACTGCAAACTCATATTTGAGGAACATATACATATTTTATATATAATGAAAATGTACTAGAGTGTTAAGTATGCTGCTTAGAGAAAGGAGAGAAAACAAGAATACCCTACTGCTGTTAAATGAAGGATGTGGCTTTAAGATGTTTGTCTTGGTTCATGACCAAACAAATGACATTTTCTAGACAAATAAGTTAGCTCATGGTCAATCCATTCCTTAAGAGTGACATGGACAAAGGGGAATCAAGGCAAGATTGGCCTGAAGTACACAGTAACTTCACACAGCTCAGTCTCGTCTGCAGAAAGAGACAGCTGGCAGGAGAGTCTCCTTTGCTAGAGGTTGATAGCCTGGATGCCAAAAGTGTAACACAATGTGGCTGTAAATAGAGTCATGAAAACAAGCACCAGAGAGAAGGATTATTCCATACTGGAAGGCAAGGTCAGTATTTCAGAGATACCTACATGAAAACCATCCTGTTTTTGTAATACTTACTGAGTCTTACAGCTGAAAACAAAATCTAAGGGGCTGTGACTGTGGCACTGCCAAGGCCAGCAATGGACATTGCCTTTGGTCTGTGCCAGGCACATCCAGACAGACAGCAGCACCAAGTACCTGGGGGCCACCAACCTGTGTCCCAGCAATGTCACCATGGGGCCAATCTCCATCTCCCCACAGCTCTTCCCTGCTGGGGAGGTGCCCCATGCACATGGCTGGGACTGCAGGCATTTTTTGGCTTTAGGAAGATACAAGCAGCCCCAACACGCCAACGCATGATTTTTTTTTCCTCCAGGACAGAGAGCAACCTGAATTTTCAACTGCTGTTCCACCCTGAACTCCCCTTCCTCCCAGCACTGGAACCACTGTAAAGAAACATAAAATGTAACTAAAACAGCATTAAAATCAAAGCAGATTTCTTTTTTTGTTTAGTTTTATTCATGTGTATGGGGGCAGTATCAGCTTTAGCAATCCAAACAAATACTACAAATGGGTAAAATTTAGGTGCATCTTCTGCCAAATCAGCGCAGCTACCTGTGCTGTTTCATCTGAAACTCCACTTCTGACAAGCGACTGAGCAAGGAGCAATGGATGTGTAGTGCTGGTGCATGGATCCCATAACTCATCTGAGGTGGAGGAACACTGGTATCCCCTCGCACGGGCTGCAGTCTGGGTTTTCTTAAAGTGAATAGATGCTGCTCCAGCTGCTCACACCACCGAGGGACAGAGAAATCAGGCACTAAAAGTAGCATCTGACCTCAGGCATGGATGTCAAATGCTGAGACCCAAAAAAGGAGAATTATCAAGGGATAATGAATCACAGGGAAAAAGCAGGTTTGAGAGGTGGTGTAAGGAGAAGGATATCGTGCAAGGAACAGTAGTTGAAATTAGTGGTCAAACAGGCATCAGTCAAATTCTCCTTTATATAAGCTGGTTGGAGCAAGCTAATCTAAAGAGAATTTCCATGGCACTCAGGAAACAAAGTTGAACAAAACCCAAACCATGAAAAAAAAAATGATGGAAAGGAAAGCTGTAGGAAATGAAGTGGAAACTAGCGTACAAGAAGAAAAAAAGGATAGCCAGACCAGGCAGGACTAGGATTAGTTTTCCCCACACACAGCTGCTATCTTTTCAGCCTGGCACAGTTCATCATTTTTATTCTTCCTGATCTTTTGCAAATCTCAGTGCTGAGCTTCTCTGCTGCTTTATCCTGAGAGCTGTAGTGCCCATGAGTTACTCAGGAAAAATAGTTTTTCCATTGTAAACGTATAGATATTTAACCAAACTATATCATCTGGGACAAGGATCACTGCAAAGTCCTTAAAACTTGGAGGGGGACAACACAATGTGCATTTATGTCCAGAGCTTCAGTAAAAGCTCTTCCTCACACATGTGTTGAAGATCATTACATTAACTTAAGACAGAATAAATGCTATTATGGCTCAGTAGTAATCCTTCCTGTGAACAGCTTTTGCAAATCCCACTCTGTCATTGCCACGGTCGAAAATACAGTAAAATGCAGACATGAAGACATCTCCTAAAATCCAGAGTGAGCCAGTGCGAGTGGGGATGTCGAGAGACTGAAAGCCGCTGATGCAGAAGGTTTGGTCATCAATAGAGTCCTGGAAGGGAAAGCACAAGTCCCTGCAGCAGCCTGCTCCATGCCCAGCTCAGGGAGTGAGGAGCAGGGAGGGGCAGGGTGGATACACACCTTTATGATGTACTGCTCTGCTGTCAGCTTGTATTCGTGGTGTCCGATCGTGAAGCTGATGTGAGGCAAGCTCGACAATCTTCTGCAGTCTACGAGAAACTGGACACAATGCACTGGCTGAGATGGGATCCCTTTGTCTTTCTTTAACTACTGCTCTTTGAATTCAAGGCTTTTGGAGTCGGTAATAGTGAATTTACTACAGAAAAACAGCATCAGGCTGACTTACAGCCTAATACTGCCCTCCAGCTTTCCTGTACTCAGTCAAACCAGCCCAGCAGCCCAGACCACTACAACCTAGGGACCCAGGGATGGTGAAAATCCTTGCAAGTCCCAAAAGAAAGGAGGTGAAGGGGCTCTGATATCCTCCCTATGCAACTCAAAGGCAAAACTAAACGTGTGAGCCCCAGCAAGACTACATCAGCAAGGTCTGCTGAGCAAAAGTTCTCCAATGCTCTGACCTTGACAGGGCAGAGGGAGCTGCTCCAGCCACAAAGGGAGCACCCTATGGGTGCAGTTCGCCCCAGGCCCTCCCATAATACCATCACTTTAGGGGAAAAACGCTACTGAGGAATACAGCACTTTATGTTTCTATTTTGCCCTGGAGTGGGATTTAAAGAGTAGAAGGACTAAACTCTGGCATGGTCATTAATGTCAATAATATATTCAGTTACAGTAACAGAGAAGATAATTTCCTGGCCTTTCTATTATTTCATGAAACAACTGGTGTGGGAAATGGCACTGCAGAATGCTCCAAGTCCCAGAGGAATCTTTGCTGTAAACTGTCGTGTTTTAAGTCATTGTTTTGGAGGCTTCCTAGAAGGAAGAATCTGCTTTTGCTGTTTTACAATGTATTTTATGAAAACACAATCTTGTGTACACTTACCAACTGTCACACCATTAGAACAAAACAAATCATGGGATACAGAGGAAAAGGGTACAAAAAGCCAGTAAAATGATTTGTGGGATACAAGAAGGAAGACATAATTCTGTTACATAGCTATTTCAGAATAGTACATCAAGAACAAATCAATCCTTGCTGAAAAGAGATAAAAGTTCTCGTAAAATCTGGGATATATACACTCACTTTTACTGGGATAAATTTGAGCAAATATGTGCAGTCTGTCTATGATTGCTAAAAATCAGTCACAGAAAGTCTTATTTTCAGGATGCTTTTTTGCAAAATCTGAGATGTTGGATGAATGTTCTTAGGTCAGCACTGGTGTATTTATGAACCTACACAGCAATGACCCATTCCTTGTTTGTATTAGGCTAGTATAAGTACATTGGAAAGATATATTTTATCTATGTTCATTAGCATGAACCATTGTAAAATCAACTCGTTATCAGAGCATACTCTTTGGCATTTATCCAAAAATTTGAACAAAATCAAGATAAATGGTGATTGAGAAAGAATCGGGAGCCTCAGGGATTACACAGAGGTCACTGCAAGTCCTCCTCTTACAAATGAGAGTGATTTTTGTCTTTGCTCTTTGTCCAGTGTACTGGGTACTTGCAATACTCTTAATTTTCTTCCAAGAGGAGTTTTGGGTCAGGATCAAGACAAATTGAGATTAGCTCAGTTGTTTAGAACATGGTGCTAATAACACCAAGGTTGTGGGTTTGATCCTGTACAGGCCATTCGGCTGAGAGTTGGACTTGATGATCCTTGTGGGTTCCTTCCATTTCCGAATATTCTGTGAAATGCAAAGTTAACAGAAGCCACACACGGCAGCTTTGCTTGAGCACTGGAGCTGTGGCAAGGTGCTAGTGACCTGTGGGAGTCAGCCAAGGACCAGCAATAGGCACTGTAGAAATAAACTGCTCTTTTCCTGGAGGCAGGGACAGGAAGGAGTGGTGAGGAGTGTCAGCAAGGGAGATGCAGGATATAGCAGCAGAGAGGAAAGGAAAACCAGCAAAGGGTCAGAGGGGTAAGGTTCAGGAGGAAGAATAAGAGCCAGCAAGCCTGCTCCTGTGCCCTGTGACTCATCTGCAGGGAGCCAGCATTGTGAGTGACACTGATGTGCATCCCTCCCAGGAGCTCTGGCATGACACCAACTGCTCCACTGCAAGCTGACAGTGAGAGGTCCTGTCAGTGAAATACCATTCCCTTTCCATCTCATGCTCACATAGCTGGCCATCAGCACCAAATCCCTCCTGGCTTGGGAGAGCCAACAGCTAGAGCTGGGGACCTTGAAAATCCTCTGAGTTTCCAAAAGAAAATTATCTCTCATGCAGAGTACATACTAATTCCTCAAACATATGTCCCCATTATTTCTTTACACACCAGTATAGAAGAGGAAGTGAACATTTGGGAAGAAGACTGGGACAAGGCATATAGGTCAAAAGCAGTGGGGCTCAGACCTCAGTGCTCTCCTGGAAACAAGGCTTTTGCTGACACCTGTTTAAGCAACCATTTCTGTTCTTTTCCAGCTCTTTGCATCATATACCAGTTTCTCTTCCTCTCTAGCTGTTTTCTGGCTGTACATTTTTTACCTCTCCAGTATTTGATGGACTTGCCCCAATATATTCCTGCAATCGCCTGATTTGTGAAGAGGGGCCGGTGATAAGAGAAGTGCCCGAGTCAACGATGGCTTCACAGCCATGGGAGCAAAATGCCACCCGGCCCTGGATCTTTATACTGCAAATAAAAAAAAAAAAAAAGGCAGCTTTAAGCAAATGGCACATACACTGTGACTGAAACACCATATTACTGCCAGCTAAAATACCAGAGTACTGACTGAAGTTAATCCCAGACAACAAGTGACAGGACAGGAGAAAATGGCCTCCACTTGCACCAGGGTAGATTTAGATTGGATACTAGGAAAAATTTATTCACAGAAAATATCGTAAAGCATTGGAACAGGCTGCCCAGGGAAGTGGTAGGGTCACTATCCTTGGAAGTGTTCAAAAAATATGTGAACATGGCACTTGAGGACATGGTTTAGTGATGTACTTGGTAGTGGTGCTGGGTTGACAGTTGTACTCCATGATCTTAATCTTTCCAACTCTAAGGATTCTGTGTTTCTATGATTAAAACTCACTGCCAAGCTTTGCTAAAGCCAAGAATGTCTGTGGACCCACTTTTCTCTCTCGAGACTCCTACAACTCTAATCATGTGCTTCCTGCTGATGAATTGTCCTCACTCCAGAGGACAAACTGATGTGTTCTCATCAATTTAGGCAGTGTGCTAGAGGTGAGACAAAAGAACACTGGCTACTTTGACCAAAGTTAGCAGGACAGATGAAAGCAGGACCCAGAGCTGGATTCTATTCCTGGGTGCCTTAACCTCTTAACTGAACAGTCCACCAAGACCTATCTTGACCACTGGTGCATCATATCGATACATATTAATATGCTCTCCCAGAAACCACCTACCCATGTCACAGCAGATTTAGCGAACTAACAAACCCCAGTTTCATCCTGGGAACCCCTCTTTGAGGGGCTCGGGGGTAAAACACTGCAGCTGAGTCCTCCTGCATCTGTGTCACCAGGTGTTTCTGTCCCTGGGGTTTTACCTAGGGAGGTGAATTCCACCAGCTTATTTATACATCCATCCATACATACATACTTGTTCATGTGTATTTGCCAGTAGCTTTTCTCCGTGACTGGGACCCAGTGGATTGAGCCTTTGTAGAGAGAATGGTCTATTCCCCCCAGAATCAACTCACCACCATTCTCAGTGTCATCTCCTCTGAAAGCAGAAAACAGTTTAACACAGATAGGGGAGTGTACCAGAATGCACCAATGAGACTACACTTCAAAAACAAAAGTCAAATCACAGCCCTTTCTAAATTCAGATATGGATGGCTGAAAGGGATTATTACTAAATTATCACTGTATGTGTTCCAACTCAGACTCTCCAAACAATCTCTAAGAAGACCTATTGTAGACACCAAGGTAGGCATCAGGAGCAGGCTGAGCCAGTTGCTACTCTCTGCTCAGAAGAAACACTAGAGAAATAGATGGAGTTACAACTAGGTCCAGATTAGAGAACAGTATTTTTCTGAAATGTGGCTATTTGTGTGTAGCACAGCACTTCTGTCATCTGAATGGGCCTGAGGGAAACCTCTGGCAACAGACATGGCAAGTCTGAACTGGGAACTTTTCTTTCATTTACGATCAGCTCCCACAAGAATAAATCTCTGTCCATAAAGTCATGGTCCTCCTCATAATATTTTTAATTTTCATGCCATAATATTCAAAGTCAAATTGTAAAAAAAAAAAACAACACAAGGAATCAAAAAAATGGGAAAAATTTCTTTCTAGGGTTGCAGCTTTATACAGATGTAAAGTGTTTCTATCAACAGTTAAAATAGATTTACTTCCTTTTCAGCAGTGTCATTTTAAAGACAGACCTTTTCAGATAGAAAGAGAAGATTGGCTCCTCTACCAGGTGCTGGTTCATGATGCTGTCAAACACAGGCAGAGCATTTCCCACTGCTAAGGAGGGGTAGCCTAAGCCCAGGACACCATCAAAGTGGGCAAGGACAAACGTTGCTCCTGGCTCAAACACCGACTCACCAAAGTCCTGTCCCTTGATGGAGATGTTACTTATCTGTGTGGTAAAAAAAAAGAGGCAACAAACAACCAAGCAAAGAACAATCACAACTGAAAGTAATGCCATCACCAATAACAATAAATTAGCCATATTTCTGATCCATATCAATGGATTCATTCCATTTATAAATGTGTGACTTGCATCAGCATAGCACGTGCCCATTTGCCAGGTAGGCAGCACTGATTCCTTACAATGCCTTAATTATGTGTCTGCTTCTTTGTAAGCTCAGAAGAGGATCCAAGAAGACAAGCAGAAATGAAGAGTAAAATCTGAGGCATTTGTGTTGGCAGCCCAAAGCTGGAGCAGAACTCACACCCCTCAGCACTCTGCTTGGTGGGACCTCACCCTGCCCTTGCCTAAAGCAGGTAAGGTTTTCCAGGGCACAATCAGCATCTGAACGGACCTGAAAACAGCTGATGTGGAGGCTGACCCCCATTTTAGTGGACACTCACCTGCAGTGTGTCTTTGCCAGCAATGCCCAGAAGGTGTCCTGAGCCATAGTGCAAGGAGAAGGCTTCCCCTCCGTGCTCATATGAATCTGACTTGAAGGACTTAAATTTCTCGTGCACCCCTACACAAAAAAAAATGACATCTCTGCACTGAGGGGAGGTCCTGGCAACCCACCCACTCCCCTACACAGAGCCAGATGAGATGTAGGAGAGCCAGATTTTTGCTTCTCTCAAGAGAAAAGTGTTGAAGAAGCACTGCAGTACTGCAGTACTCAGTTCCCCTGCAGACACCCCAGTTGTTCTGTACCTGAGAGGTAATTTTGCATTTTAGAGAAAAAATTAGAGCAAAAATGGGCATTTCCACCTGTGTTGGCAGGTCTCCCAGGTTTATTTTCATGCCTTTTCCCTCATGTGCAGAGGGTCCCTGGCTGCAGAGACATGAGGGACAGAGGAGCAAACTGGGGGGAGGAGAGCGGCCCTAAGGGATGCTCCAAATCCTGCCCTTGCAGATCCCTGCTGCGGGCAAACTCCTTGGGAAAGGAGGACTGGGCAAGGCCTCTGGGCCCAGGCCAAGGGAAGCAGCAGGGAGCAGAGCATGTCTTACTGCAGGCCTCGCTGATGCAGTAGGCGGACGGGACCCAGAAGTTGGAGGAGCCGGTGTCGAACACGACGGTGAAGCGCTGGGGCGGGGTCCCGATGCTCACGACCCCGTAGTACTGAGCCTGCAGGGGGAAGAGCCCGCTCAGCCCCGGGCAGCCTCCAGCCGCTCCCCCTGAGGGGCAGCCATGCCAAGGCTCCCTCAGGAGCTCCTGTGCAATTCCGGCTCAATGGAAACGCACAGCACGGCAGGTGTGCCCGTCCTTCACTCGGCGGGTCTGACTCCAGCGGAACGAACGACGGTGTGGCGTTTTTGAAGCCTTCCAAGCAAACATTCAGTTGGGTTCCCTATGGAGTCAACAAACCCTCTTGGACTGGCTGCAGAGGTGGCAAGGTCATCCTCAAGATGAAACTCTCACATGAACACACAGACTTTGAGGCTGTTCCTTACTGATGCCAATAAGAGATCAGTGTTGTGAAGTCAGCATGACCTGCCTCTGCCAGCTTCAGAGGGCTCCGACCAGTGGCACAAACACTGTCTTATGTGGCTGCCCTTTTTCCTTTGTAACTAGCAGCTATTATAGCAAGTCAAAAAGCATTGTGTTGCACAAACTGTTCCTGATGTACTGGACAAAGTTCATGCAGCAGATGAAGAAACCACTGACCATCCCTGGATACCAATTGAGACTGAGATAATCTGTGAACACGTGAATGCTGGAGTGAAGTGCTTATCCACATCCCTTATACAAGTGTCTAAGTGCTCCTATCTGGCCCTGGAAGTGCACTTCAGCATTAAAAGACCTATTTTTAGGAAGAGGCATTTCTGGAATTCAACCATAGATAGGAAAGCAATAGCTAGTGCCAAACTTTCTTCAACAATACACGTATTTGAATATGTACCTTCAATTGCATACTTGTTAATTAATACACTGATGTTTCTGACCCCAGAATATACAGTCTGAATGAGATAATCTTGAAAAGGCAAGCAAGCATGCCATTTAAGAGAATATCCAACTATACTGTAGGATTCTATTTATTCCTGCATTAAACAAACCTAAGGGATGTTCATTTAAAAAAATAAATAAATAAATAAAAGAACATACAACCAGAAAACCTACATACACACTGCAATAAAAGTGTTCCTGGTGCTACCTGAATATGCTGAGGAAGTTGGTTTTGCTTTGTTGTTTTGAAATTTTCATTTATCCCTCTTTTAAATAAGCTTTCAACCAGGTTGAAATGTTTCAGTGTCCTTTGTTCTTCTTCACATACTTATTTCTTTATGGCCTTCAAGTGTCAGTAAGTTCTTGCTGAGTGAATTTGGCCTTCCCTTTGATTCCATTCCCTGTTCAGATGAAGACTTCACAACATTTCTGAAGCTTAGTTTCCCTTGAGATAAGCATAGCAGAAAAATCCAGTAAAACAGAAAACAGAGATCATTCGAATGGTCAAAATTCTAAAGCCAGGAAGGACAATTTACAAAACAGTAGACCTGCTGGCTTGCCTGTCTGAGATGCAGTGAAATTAATATTTTTCTTTTTTCAGTTTAGATGGTAAATCCTCCCAGGTCATTCTCCAATATTTAATACATATTAAATTCCAAAGATATAAGCAGAAAAATAATAAGCTCTACTTTGTTATCACTAATTTATGACTCCACCCAATCAATTAAATGAGATTCAGAGGATGTTTTAATAACACAGAAGCATCCAAGTGTCTGGTAAATAGAACATGACTAAAGGAAGCAATCAGACTCTGCTATGGAAAACCCTATAGTTCACCAAGATTGATACAGGCAAATGTCCCATATTTCTTTGGGGACCCAACAGAGTCCAGGACCAATCTATACAAAAATAAAACTTGTTACAGGACTACCACTGCTACTCTACATCAGCTTTCTACTCAGATCCCATCCCATCCTAGATCTAGATACGTTTTATTTTGCAGATTGCAACCTGTTTTTTTATGATCTAATATTTATAGCATAAAGCAACAAGACAGCACAAGCCCTATAATTTCTTTGACAGACTAGATTTGAAATGTGCTGGGAAAAAAAAACTGCCTTCAGTCGAACGATGAGTCCTAATGATTGCATTACCAAAACTGTACTTACATTCATGTAATCATACAGCCTTTCTGAAGCAGTTCCTACTGACAAATCAATAACTGCAGGGAAACAATGCAGATACCTCCGGGCAAAAACATCAGGGTGGTGATTCCTCCAAAACTCCTCTAATTCTCCCTTTTCCTTCAGCTGCTTCTTGATAGATTTGAATCGAATCAAGGGGATTCTATGCAAATAAAATAAACACACAAAAAAACCCCTGATTGTCCTTTCTAGAACTATCATATGCTCAATTTTTTTTAAAAAAAGGTTTCTTTTTTTGAGACCTCAAGTAGCAACAAGCACAGGTCAGCCCATGAAGCCAGCTGAGATGTGTGCCAGTGAAGCCAGACGTGTTTTCTTACCGTTCCACAGCCACGATGAATGGGATGTAAACCACAGCCAACAGTACTGCCCTCATGGCTCCAGGCAGTTCAGAGTCTAATGACACTCCTTTGCTCAGAAGTCCCTTTTTTATGGCCTCTTGTCAGCTGAGGGCAGCTCACCAGGTCAATCAATCACAGGAGGTCAATGCTTTGGCAGAAAACTGATCAATTTACTCTCAGACTAACCGCTGGTTTGTGCAAATAGTGATGTCCAGTGGAGCTACTCAGCACAGATAACCAGGGCACAGTCTAGACCAAACAGACATTTAACTAACAGTCCTTAATGTCTTTTACATAAATATAATACATGGGGTGAGCTTGGCTCCTGTTAGCATGAGAAAGAGGAAGCAGTCCAAGGACTTGCTGCTTTTCAAGCTTGCTTTAGTGAGATGCTGCTCAGAAGTGTTCAGTGCAGGGAAAGAGGACATAACACATTACCATTTCCTTTCTGCATTGAGACATTTCAGCAGGGCTGAGCAGACATTTGGTGGGCTTGTGACAAGTCACCCCCTAAAAGCTGAAGTTTAATTCCCTACTTATGGGAGAGCTGTAGTCGAAACATAAATCTGACTGCCACCCTATAAAATGGATCTTCACAGTAAAAAACACAACAGTACAATACTGCAACACACAGTAAAAACCAGCAATAATTTTTCACACATTTCAGCAAGACATTTGGAAAAGCTCTCTTGGATTTATTTTCCTGCAAGCTTTCTGAGGTTGGTGGCTCCCACCCCTGCCTGACACTTGGGTTGAAGTCAAGCCCGCAGAGAAATAACAGTGTCAAAAAAAGGCTGATTTGACAGGGCACAATCCCCAACCCATCAGCTGCCAGGAGGAAGCTGAACACTGAGTCTGCAATTTACTTACAAGACTTTTTGAGTCTTTCCTCTGCACAAGAAAGAGCAGTAAGCAACCACATACTGCAGCCTAGCATATATTAAAGCTAACTTTGAATAATCAGCCATTTTTATTTGAAAGGCTATGGTAGGATGCTGGGAAAAGAGTAACCACGTTGTGCTCCTCACAACACATCATGTATTTAAAGTAAACTGCTCACTATGCAAAGGTGGACTGGAATTAAGTAACTCACAAAAGAGAGCAGAAGTGCAACAGCACAGCAAGGAGTGGATGCCAAAGGACATGGAGGAGGCAGGAGTTGTCATCTTCTGCTCCAGCAGCAATGTCAAGAAAAAACAGCAGAAAAACCCAAACACACAGCATTTGTGAGCCAAGAAGGAGTCTAAATGCCTGCCATAGACTTTAAATAAATACAAAGCAAAAAAAAAGTCATTCCTTTAAGTCACTTCCATTGCTGTGTCAGACTGATTGAGGAGGGGTATGAGAGCCTTAAAATCAGTAAGCTTAGAGGTCTATTTACTAGTTCTGGATCTTGAAATACATAATTTGCTTTTTCCAATGTATCTCCAAAATTGTAAGGGCCAAAAAAACTCAGCAAAGGCTGAGCCTGGTGTCATCAGACAGTTGTGGGCAGAGATTTGGATCTGAAAAAGCACCAGCATCTCTATTATAACAGCTTGATTAAAAAAATAATAGAATCTCAAAAATGCATCTTTTATATTGATTTCTATTTTATTATATTTTTTTTTCAAATATCTATCTCTGAATAACATTCCCCATTTCTGCTGGACTCAGAGGTTTTACACAAGTTAACAGAAAAGAATCACATTTTCTGTCCCAGAATCATCCCAGCCACTGAGATGCAAGAGCTGGGTGTTGGAAATGGGCATGGTGAACAAAGATGTAACCATTTGTGAAATTCCAGAAAGCAAAGGCATTTCTCAAGGAGCCCCCACCTGTCACCTGATGCACAGCAGAGCAGATGTCATGCCCTTGGGTAGGGCAGTGTGCTTTGACAAGAGCAAGACAATGTCTGTGCTGAGTGCCTTTATCACTTGAACTTTTCCTCAAATGCTACAAATGCTTCTGGGAAGTCGATAATGTTCATGTTGGAGGGCACCACGGTAACTTTGAAGACATGAAGTGGCTTTCAAAACTGCTTGGGTCTACTGTGAAGACTGCCTTTGCCTTAGTGCCTTCACTGAGAGGCTGATTCTCAGAAAGAGGCGTTCATTTTACTGCAAGTGTAATCCTTTATTAATCCACACACAAAGGTTATTATTTCCCAAATTCTCTGATCTCACTCTATGTTCCAAGCAGACATTAATTTAGTTAGCAGAGGTACAAAATGCAGCAACAAAAGGTCATCGTGACCTTTTTTGATAAGCTGGAATAATGATTAAACTACCATGCAGAGGATCCCTAAGAAATAGTTATCTGCAGCTTAAAAGTTCCATTAAGGAGAAATAACTCAAGTAGAAAAAAATATATATCCCTATCTGTATCTGCAGACATAAAGTACTTTGCAAAGTTACTTGTCTGTATATGGATTATTGAGAAAAATATACCTAAACATTATCATTAATGTATTCTTAGCTATGCTCTTATGTTGTTATGATGAATAGGTTGTCTGAAAAAATTTGTCTAAAAGACAAGGCTTTGCTGTGGATGTATATTCATTATTAGTTACACCAAATGCATTTGGTTTTCCACACCTGTAGCCTACACCGCCTTAAGGGGAGGGACTCTTGCTTTCAGAAGGTGCCATGGCTGTTTAGAAATGAAAAACAAATACAAAACATTGTTCTGACACATTCCCACAGTGGTCATCTGACAGGGCACAGAGTATCAAAGCAGTAAAGAATCGTCTAAAGGGAGATGCTCATGCAGTGCAAACTGGCTTCTTGCTTCTGGGATGCCATGCATAGCACGTCCCACCATCAGAGAGGGAACTTTCAGGTCCTCTCTTCCACAGCATCACCACAGATGACTGTGACATTGTCTTTGTTCTCCAGGCTTGATAGTCTGCCCAGCTTCTCCATCCAAAACTTGTTTTATGGCACTCAGGTCTCAGCATTCACTGTTCTCTGTCCTGCTGCAAAATGAGAGCAATGAGCTGTAGATATCAAAGCAAAGAGCTGGGTGCTGAAAAGGCTATTTTACCTTAAAACAGTCTGCCAGCTTTCCATGAACATCCAAAGTTCATGGTAGAGACATGGCAAATACACTGGCAAGACAATCACAGAATGGGTTGGGTTGGAAAGAATCTTAAATATCATGTAGTTCCAACCCCCCTGCACGGGTGGGGATGCATATGGGTCCCCAGAAAAGCTTGAAATAGCAGCAGCTCAACATGTCAAACTATGCAGAAGTTCCTATACATGGGAATGCTCCTAGAAACTAGAACTGAACAGCAAAATGGGTCTTGAAGAGAGGAAAACAGTTTACACTGTCACATCTAAATAGCCATAACTTTTCAAAATTGGACTTACTTCACTCATAACAAGTGAGAATCTTGATGGAATTAAATCCATGGGAGTTTCTTGACAGGTTTTGGTACAGACACGGGAACTGCAGTAGCACAGTTGGAAAGAAGATGAAGAACAACCTTGGCAGTTTGTGATAGCACATTACATTGGGATTCAGACAAGGAGTAAAACAAAACATAATGAAAAAGGCCCTACAGACAAGAAGTAAAATGTAATGAAAAAGGCCCTACACAGTCAAGAGTGCCACAGGCTATAACAAATACCATTAAATTGGGAACCTAAACAGTAGAACCGCTCAAGATAGCAGTTTGCCAAGTATTTGTGTTAAAGCTTTAAGATAAGTACAGGGTGGCAAGTTACACTCTGAAATCCAAGTATTTGGCACCTTTCAAAATACATCCCTGAAAGTGCCACTCATCTTAAAAGTCAGTCAAGTCTTGACAGGTATTTTTACAACAATTTGATTATATCCAACATTTCTGCTGAAAGTTTCATATAAGTTAAACATCTGAGCTTAAAACTTTGGTCTGCTATGGTGTTTACTTTCCCAAGCCCATCCTGGCTGCCTGCATTGGCTACACAGACAGCACAGCTGCAGCAAGAAGTGAAGGGCTGGGGCATTGGAGCAGCTCTACAGCTGCAAGAGGAGGAAAAAAGGAATGTTGTTTTCGGGGGGGGTGGGTAGTGTGGGTGAGAGAGGGAGACCTGGGCCCTGAGTCGCCCTGTCTATAATCCCCGTCACCAAACACTCATTCAGTTATCAGAAACATTTCAGAGCCCTTGAGATTAATGGCTGGTGCCATGTAAACAGAGCCTTATATTGGGAAGAACGAGTTACCAACAGGTCAGTGTGCTGCAGAAGACCAAGGCAGGCTCCTGTCCCTCAGTCTCAGCCACCCCAAAACAAAATCCCAAGATGGGCAATAGTCTGAAAGCCATACTTGTTTTTGTGCCCTCTAACAAGTGCCAGAAGTACCTCCTAGAAGACCTAGAAGAGATGCCAGTGGATAAAATGGTCGATCTGAGTGGCAGGCAGATGAGGCGGCTGCCTGTGCACATTTGCTCCTTTAGGGAACTGGTTAAGCTGTACCTGAGTGACAACAACCTGAACCATCTGCCCCCCGAGCTGGAGCAGCTGCAAAACCTGCAGATCTTGGCACTGGACTTCAACAACTTCAAAGCACTGCCCTTAGTTGTGTGCACGCTGAAGCAGCTGTGCATTCTCTACCTGGGCAACAACAAGCTCTGCAGCCTGCCCCTCGAGCTGCGACTCCTGCAGAACCTCAAGACCCTCTGGATCGAGTCCAACTGCCTGCAGTACCTGCCCGAAGTGGTGTGCGAGCTCAGCCTGCTCAAGACCCTGCACGCCGGCTCCAACGCCCTGCGGTGCCTCCCTCCCCAGCTGCAGTGCCTGCAGGAGCTGCGCACCATCTGGCTGTCAGGAAATCTGCTGTCAGAGTTCCCTCCCGTGCTGCTGCACATGCCCTTCCTGGAGGTGATCGACGTGGATCGCAATTCCATCCGGTACTTCCCCAGCCTCGCTCACCTCCCCGGCCTGAAGCTGGTGATCTATGACCACAACCCCTGCAGGAATGCACCCAAAGTGGCCAAAGGTGTGCGCAGGGTGGGCAGATGGTCAGAGGAGAGCCCAGAGCCCCGCAAGCGCTCTGGGGCTGTGATAGAAATCGCGCTCGACGACAAACCATTGCTACCTCCTGCAG